TATTTCAAATTATTCTCCAAACTCTTCCTGTATACAAGTATATTAACACTGCTATATCTAGCTTCCTTTATCTAACATACTCAATTTAGATTTGCAAAGTCTACTTTTTGCAGATTTCCTTTCAAATTTTTAATAAATTAAATGCTATATTAGAAAAGGTGTTGTTAAAAATTCGAAATACTGCTTATAACAGTTTTTATGAGACTTTTTGCTGACTCTCCTTTATAATTCAACTTGCTTATAGGCAATGCAAAATGCTCTCACTTGCTTTTTTATCGGGAGGCTGCATGCTGAAGTCCAGAGCTTGATAAAGTTATGGATCTTACTACTAGTATACTCAAAAAAGTTGTTTTTGTTTTTCTCGCTAGGACGACAATGGAGTTGTGGTGGGAAAGCTGTTTTGAGTTGGTCTAGTGGGCAAAAGTTTTGAATTAAAACGAACCAAATTGATGTCAGGCTTCCCTGATTATCAGAAGCCTTCCTCTGAACTTTAACTTAAACAATTGTGGAGCTGCTCAAGAACAAAAGGAGAATTGTACAAATTTGTATGCAAACTTCAATTTTCACTCAATAATGTTTAGTTTAGACGACCTGAATACAGACACACATTTGAATACCCTTTATCCCTTTTCTTTTATTGCAAATCAAATTTATAGACTTTGTATATTGTGTTTTATTTCGCACTCCCTATAAACAGCGAACAGCTGTGCTTTCCCGAGCACTGGTTGTGGCTGTTCACAGGCATTTAACTGCCAAACACATCCACGCACATACAGCTACAGATATATAAGAGCATGTATATGCAAATATGAATATAAATGAACAGCAGCAGCAGCAGCAGCAGCAGCAGTAGCGAATAAGCGAGCGATAGTGAAAACGAAGGCGCGTCTCTCAACTCAAGCTAAGCTGAAAGCTATGACTGGAGCAGTGGCTCTAACAGTTGGGGGCCGTCATGTGTGTGAGGGTGTGTGTGTATATGTGTTTGTGTGTGTGTGTGTGGTGACAGGCAGGCAGGCAGGCAAGAAGCAAGCAAAAGTTGCCACTGCTGCGTTAAAAGTTAAACTTATGGCAACAAGAAAAAAAAAACAAATTTGACATCGAGCGGCAGCCAAATGACAAAGGCACAACAACCAACAAAAGTGCGAACATGTGCAGCTGATGTGCGATGCCTTCAGCTATATACTTATGTGTATATGTTTGCGTGTGTGTGTGTGTGTGTATGTGTGGGTAGATAAGCATAGTTTTATAAGCATGACAAATGCTTAAGGGAAATCGTTGCAACGCTAGCTTATTGTTCACTGCCTACCCAACTACCCAACTACCTACCTAGCCCCATTCAACTTTCCACCTGGCTGCGTGAACGTGGGAGTGTGTGTGTGGGTGTGTGCGAATTAGTGTGTGTGTGTAAAATGTACAATTATTCGCAAGCCCTTCAATGCGCCAATGCGCGACAAAAGCCCCACGTGACACACTGCAGCAGACACAAAGAGGTGCTAACAGCAATTCAATAAAGTGCGATCGAAAATGCCAAAGCGCCCAAGCACCCAAGCACCAGAGTGCCAAAGTGCGCCCAAAACTGGAGCACCGTGTGTCCTTCTACATGTGTATGTGTGTGTGTGTGTGTGGTTTACACGTGTCTGTGTGTCTCTGTGTGTGTGTGAGCATCAAAGTGCAATTATGAGCCAAAGTACCCAAAAGCTGACTTCCAAAGAGCTACCCGGTCAAGTGGCATATCAGCAGTCAACAGCAGCACGAATCGCATTTTGCAATTCACGATTCAAGATGGGTTCCCTCAATAAAGAGTCGAAATCTTGCTGCTCTAAGATTTTAATTGAATCTTTAACTATTGGTCTGAGCTGTATATAGTATCTGAAATTGTCTAATGTCTTTTGCTATTTAGTTAGTTAGGGATTATACAGAACTCATGGTCGCATAAGTCGCAAACAAATTTTGATTAGTTTAAATCTAATTTGTTTTTATCAAATAAATCAATTAAATCAGAGTAGTATTTTCATTCCACTTTTGCAGTAAATTTGCTGCTTGGCTGCTTTCTTCTCTCACTTTTGTTTTTTGTTTTGTTTTTCGAATCATTTCTGTATTAACTTTTACTCTTCACCCACATCCACTAAATAGGTCTTCTTCTTCATATATACATATACTTTGTTTTGATGTCAAACGCGAAGAGGGACTGATTTTTAATCTGCAGGCAAGCTTCACAATTATTCCGCAGCATTAGCAATGCTTTGTATTACAATTTTTAGTATCAGTACCTAGTTATTTTGTGCTGCCATCATACGAATTAGTATTAGTATTTCTTACTAAGCTCTGTACAGATAGCTAGACCAAGCGATGGAAAGCCCATCCAAATACCAAATGTATGACAGTGGAGAGGGTAGAGGGAGTGGAGGGAGGTGACTAAAATGCATTGTTTCATGAAATTTGAATATTATTTGAACAAAGATCTAATAAAATATATAATTATACACACAATATACACAATACTTGTATATTTATATTATATTTCGACATTTCTCTCTTCTAATTAACTAACTTAATTGCAGTTCTTGTTGTGAAAAGTTCGCCCTCGCTTATTATTTCATTTTGTGGCTATTGTTGTTGCTGTTGTTGTTGATTTTGGTTTTTAGCTGGACCCGTCCTAGGAAATAGAAGCATTTTATTTAGAGGCCTTTTTGTAGAATTCATGTGTTAAAATTGAATTGCAATCACAATTGGCAGTTCATACAAGCAATTTATGTTAATGCTAATAGACAGAGATAAAAAACCATTTAATTATGAGCATTGTTTAATCAATTTTATATTGCCGTTTGTTTTGCTTTTGACATTGTTAATGTGAGTGGCGTTTCAGGAAAATGGCAGATTTGACGTGCGGCAATGTAGTTGTATAATGTAGTTCGCTCACACACAGACACAAATAGAGACACAAATGCGAGCTGAGTACACGTATGGCGTGCATTGCACACTTGCAGGCGCAAAATAATAACATTAACTACATTGGCAGCAGCAGTAGCAGCAACAGCAACAGCAACAGTAGCAGCAGCAGCAGCAGTTGCAGTTTCATATTCAGCAACAACTGCTACGGGCGATTACAAAAACATCAACACTTAATATGTTTATTAAATTTGTTGCTACATCATTAGGCACTGGCAGCCATGTAATGCGGAACAAACATTTAACACACACACACAAGAAAAGTGTGCGTGTGTGTGTGTGTGTGTGTATGTGTTTGTGCGTGTGTGCGTAAAGTCCTTATGGTATGATGTTAGTTATACAACCGGCACGCAGCTGCAACAGCAGCAAATGCAGCAACATCAGGCGAGGCAATGCCCTTAACACACACACACACACACACACACACACACACACACACACACACACACACACACACACACACACGACACACATCCACGGCTTTATGTGCATAAGTATGTATGTAGAAATATATGTGCCAACATAGCTGCAAGTACAGTAAGAAACCCCAACACGAACTCAGTAGATAATAATAATAATAAAAGAAGTTCAAGTAGGGAGTTCAACCCGCCACCAACGGTTAGAGCTGAAAAAAGTTCGAAAAAAAGATAGCTCTTTTTCAAAAGAAGGGCATGAAGGATCGATCCTTTGTAAATCAAATAAAAAATTCAACATTCAAGGCTTGCTGCTCACTTTCCGAGTGGAATGTGCGCTGAAAATCAGGATTATAATTCATTCCTAAATAAGTATAATTATTACGACTATGCTATTTATATATGAATGCACGCACATAAGTACGCATATCGTTTTGCTCTGATCAAAAAGAACGATCTATAAAAAATAGAACAGTATCAAAACCAGCTGGAATATCACGTTTGTGCAGACTTTTCGAAAACATAATTACTGGAGCGTTTACGCAAAGTGAAATAAAAAGAGTTAGTCTTAAATGAAGATGTTTTTCTTTTAATTTGAAAACAAGAAATTATTAAAATACGTTTTGATAGTTTTTCCAATTTTTTACATTGACATTTCTTCAAATTTTGTTTTTTAATATTGTACTTTTAGCCCCTCCACTATTCCCAAACCCACCAAATGAGGAGATTATTCCTACAAATGAAAAGAAAGCCTATTTTGAAAACCTAACCAAAACGTGCTTTGTGGAGGCCTCGAAAAAGTTTGTTGGAACTGTTAACGAAAAAAACAAAATTAAATGATATTGTTTGTTGTTCATTATATTTTCTCGCATCATTTGAACCTCTTCCCTATACAAGTAGATATGTTAAGTATAGTAAATAAACAAAAATAGATATTGTTCGTGATTTTTAACAGGAGTTTTCACTGCATAGGTGTGTTTGCAAGCATTTATGTTTGTATGAGTACGTATGCAGTTTTATAGGCAAATATGTATATAAATATATATGTGTGTGTGTGCGCGCACACAGGAACTCTTTTGCATGCTGCTCGACTTAACAACATGCTGTTTTTTAGTCACATTTGCAGTTGCAGTAACTACATTTGAAGTTGCAGTTGCTCTTCAAGTAGTGTGCACATCGATGTGTGCGTGCGTGTGTGTGCGTGTGAGTGCATCTGCGTTTCAAACAATTTGCATTGCCTACTTTTAGGGTTGTGATGCTATAAGCGCTGCCAACATGGTTGGTTACCGAACCTCTCTCTATACACGTATGCGTGTGAGCGCACGTGTGCGTGTGCGTGTGTTTGCTTGTGTTTGTGTTGGCGCGTCTGTAAGTTATGCGCATTATTAAAAAACTGTGCTGCACACATACGACACGTTTTATATATACAAGTATATATACAAGTATAGTATGTACATGTGTGTGCAGCGTAAACATGCTGATGCGTGTGGAGGACATAAATATTAATGCTCATGATTATTATTATTATTATTATGATATCAATGTACGCAAATGTGCAAATGCATATGCGACATGGCTGTTGGCACATTTTGATAACTTGAACTGACATTCCTTTCCGCCTCTCCTCTATTTGCTTAGCTGCTGGCGACGCTGCGAATGCCACGCATAGGCTCACACGAACGGAGGAGGCAAAAACTCACCTAGTGGCGATTGCCGCCCGCAAATTCCTGACAATAACAATGCAGCAGCCAAATGATGCACAAACCAATCGACACCACCAACCGCTGGTAGAGAGTAGTAGCAACAACAACAACAACCACAGCATCACCACTGCAGCCACTGAAACAGCAACATTGCCATCATCCTCGACAAATGGATCGTCCTCGAAGGATTCTCTCACCACAGCATTTGCCATCACACACAATGGCTTTCCATATGAGCAACCGCACGCATTGACAATTTCGAGACCGCCATTTGCCAGCAGGCGGTACAGACGCAACGTTGAAGAGGATCAGGTGGATCGCTGTCGTCTGTTCGTTGAGGGCGATCCCACCAAGAACGAGCTCTACAGTCCCGAATATCCGAATTTGTATCCTAAAAACATTAACTGCACGCGTGTAATAACAGGTGAGTTAAGTTAAAAAACAAAAATTAAAAAAAAAAAAACCGTTCTGCTGTAATAAGTGGGGCCCCATCAAATGGTAGAATTGACAGGGCCCCATTATAATAACTCTAAAATGGGAGTCTTTTGGAACAGTTATGTTTTCTCAGTTCTTAAGTTGCATGCAATTGCGAATTTCTTGCTAGAAAGTTGGGGACCTCTTCCTTTTTGTTCCTATATAGTATTATATCCCATATTATTCTGTTCAAAATCGATGCTCTTTTTTGATTGCAAACCAGAGCTTGCTTTAATTAAATAAGCAACCATTCATGTTGAAATCACGATCATGATGGCTATTCTCATGAATGCAAAACATATTTTTAAATACTTCTTTTCACACATTGAGAATAGTTTGTTGCGGAATATTCGTGAATAAATATCTGGTCCACTGATTTGTGAAATCGTGTGGAATATATTTATACGCTATACTGAAAGGTTAGGTCTCTAAAATACCTCTTTAAAATATTCTCTAAAAATATATATAATGTGATACTTTTTGTATATATATAATTAAGATATGCGAAAAGTTTTTGTTAATCCGCAGTTCATATATCTGCTTATCTGCTTTTGGAAAAATGAGTTTTTACCTTAAAATGCTCAACTAAAACACAAAGAGTATTTCTCTTGTGTTCAATTTTGAATGCTTCCGCTAAATAAAAGCGCAGTTTTCAGTTTTCTTGGTACGCATTTTTAATTGGTAATTTATTTGCATTTTTTTTCTGCAATTAATAACTTGTGTGTTACGCATGTGTATATATATGTATTTATTTTGGTAAACAAAATTAGTTGAAATCCATTTAAATCACACGGATCAATAGCAGTGACACTTTCTTGAATCTGCTGTGAGAGACAAATTGTATTTGAAGCTAAAACTTCAAGTTTTTCAAAGTGTCAGCCATAGATTAAGTTTAAAGTTTTAGTTGAGATGTCATCGACCATTACGAAGAACATCATTTAATTCGAACAATATCCTTCAGCAGTAAATCAAATCGGCCCCTTTCCCACTCACACATTTTACTTATTTGGAACAAGTGCCTTTGGTACGGCAGCGATTCACTTGAATTTGATTGTTAAGCCCATCAATAAATCTATGCTCTTATCGTCACGCAAGTAATCGCAAATCTGTGATTGAACTCACACATTTATATAAATTTATTTATATATGTACGGGTGTATATATATTTCTTTTTTGTTTACGAAGCTCTACACTTACGTATCATTATACGTAATAAGCTCAGACATGTATCTTCTATTATTTATACTGCTATATTGAAGTACTTGTATGTGCTTAATTCACTTCTTCATTCCTACACCAGAGCTAGAGTTGCAATTTTTTTTTCCATTTAATCAAAGCATTGAAGCCGTGCAATAGTTTCATATTTTATTTCAGCAGTAGGTTATATTTTTCTTGGAGTTAAAGTTAATCAACAAATTAATCTTTTATATCTGTTAATATATAACTATTGGTATATAACTATTGGTATATAACTATTGGTATATAACTATTGGTATATAACTATTGGTATATAACTATTGGTATATAACTATTATATATAAAATAAAAGCGATGGCTGTGTTTGTTTGCCAACATTTGTTGATAGGATCTCAAAAAAAAAAATAAATAAATAAATAAATAAAAATAAAAATTGAAAGTTGAAAGAGTCAATGTATTAAAAGGAAATGTAGAAACTAAACAATTTACTAATACAAAGAGTATGGCGTGCAAACCAGCAATTGAAATATTTGACTCCTTTGTGCTTTGGAAGGCAAATGCCTATTGAATTATTATTTTTAAATAGTTTAACTTGCGCCACAAATGTTCGTATTTATTCACACCGACTTAGTAGATGACCTCTAAAGAGCTAACCACCAGAGGATATTAGGGCGAAGAACATTTAAAGGTTTAGTTAGATTAAGTCATTTGCCAATCTTTGAATAAATTAAATAAATTAAATGTTTCAATTATGTTGTCCAAATAAATATTTCGAAACAATTGAACATTTAGAAAAGAACTGCAAAATATATTTGAAAATTAATATTTAATATTGCAATCAGTGCTAGACAAAGCAAATCGTTGACATTGTTTTTAAAAGAATTGTCGGACTGAGCAGTTTTTAGAAGTCAGTTAATATGTAGACAGGCATTCATTCACGCACGCACGCACGCACACATTCACGGAGTTTTAAATACGTTCACACTTCGACAGTCATGCCGCCAAGCAGTCAACCAGTCTGTCATGTCTGTCAAGTCTGTCGGTTCAGTTCTGTTCAGTTCAGTTAGCTAGTTGAGCCTAGCCATTGAAGCAGTAATGGAGTAATGGAACAGGAGCAGGAGCTGAAGCCTAGCTGGTAGCTTGCGCTGATGCGTAATATGCTTTTTGTCCTTTTGTCTTTGGCTGCGAGGATATTAAAAGCGTTAGCTTGTATCTGTGATGGCTTGAGGGTCTCTGCGTCGGCACGTCCCCAGAGGTCGAGTCACCAAGGTTCAGCTCTAGTCTCAGCCTCAGCTTCATCTTCATCTGGCTCGTCATCAGCATCATCATTATCATCATCATCATTATCATCAGCGTCGTCATCTTTGATGGCTGCTCGAACAGTTGTCATATTTGCATTGAGCTCGCTTCAGTGGCTCGACTTCGCTTATCGGAAGTTCGGGGGCAATCATTTGTCAGTTACGACAAAATATTGCCGCTGCAAAGAGCTGGCAGATAAAACCTAAGCGAATGATTGACTTTCCATAAGCGCGCACCAGTCCGCCCCCCCCCCCATCCCCTCCTCCTCCTCCCACTACCAACTCCTTGCACATGGAATCCTTCGCTCACATATACTCGCACCCTCGTATGCGTATGCTTAGACAGATGACTAGATATGTCCTCTGTCCTGGCAAAAGCAGCTAGACCTTATTTGCATATCAATATGTATATGTGTGAGTGTACAAGTATATGCATTTAGATACGTACATGTGTGTTTGTGTTTGTTTGTGTGCGTGTGTGCGGTCGGGCAGCAACTTCTATTGGTATTGCCTGAATGTTGATGTTCAGACTTGAAGCGATAAGCGTGCGCATTATGTGGTGTTTGTGTTTGTGTTCGTGTGGGTGTGAATGTGGATATTGCTGGTGTGCGAGCATTCGAGTATATATATGTGTTTGTGTGTGCGTGTGTTTGTGTTTGTGTCTTTATGCATATGGCAAATGCCAAACGCTTAAGTAACCAAAGTCGACGTAATGGCATGAAAATTAATTGCCACCTAACAATGGGGCAGCAGCAAGTGCTCACGATCGAATAGCAATAGAAATATCGATTGCAACTGACAGTTGCCGGCCCACAATATATGTTCTCTTCTGCTCCTGCTCCTGCTCCTGCTCCAGCCCCTACTACTGTGCCTGCCCAATCAAGAATGTTCGGCCACCCACATTTTGGTCAATTTGTAAAGTTCTGTTCAGACGCCTGAGCACATTTCGGCGGCAGTTTGTTAACAGTTTTCTAAAGTTTGCTCGACTCGTAATTTTCGATTTAAAAACATAAATTAAAGAAACTTAAATTTTCGTACTAATATTGGATAGAGAAAGCGGTTTTATTATTATATTTATTTTATTTATGTACTACAGCTACCATATAATTAAAAATTAAATGTCAACTTATATTATAACGGAGAAAAGTTTCTATTCAGCATTTTATAAGTATTGGATTGTACATTAAGCATTAATTATTTAATTATGAAACCTTTAATAAGGAATAATATTATAATTATTTTTTAAAATTATCTTATTAATGCTAGCAACTGAATTTTATGGTATGAATTGGTCAATTTTAGGAACTTGCAGATTAATTCAATGTTTTGGAAGGTTGGTTGGGATAGGATATAGGCTTGTTTTCTGATATCTTAAAGACTTGAACAATTTTCAAGAAAATGTTTGACTGATTTTCGAATGGTTGCCAGTTTATTATGCACAAAAACATATAAATATGTTTAAATAATTCAAATATGTCATGAGGTTGGTTTTTTTGATGGGGGAAAAAAATTACTTCATTTTCGTTAAGGTATTTGAAAAATTCGATGGTTTCTTTATTTTTACCAAAGCTACAATATTTAATTAAAATGTTTTAATAAAATTGTATTTAAATGATTTATTTTTGCACGACAATTTGTTGCATGAAGTTAAATTGTGTGGCAAATTAGGAAGAACATTTTATTTTACAAGCTATTCAATTGAAATATTTTGTTAAAATAGTAATTATTATCTCACAAATATTTTTAGTATGAAGCTAAATCGTGTGGCAAATTAGGAAGAGCACCATAAGAGCATTCAAATAGTTGACTTTATTCAAAAACACACTTTCCATAGGGCTGGCAGGAAATGAGCATCCATTCTCTGAGTTATTCTTTTCATCAAAAATGTTCCCTGACATATTTCGTTAAATATTTGAAATAGTACGGTTAGTTAGGCATTAAACAAATTAAGTGGAACCCTGACGGTGCAGCTGATTCTATAAAGCTAGCTGAAGCGTCTGAACGACACTTTAAGCAACGTGTACCCAACCTCAAGGAATTGTCAACTAAAGGCAAATTGCTGGTCACGCTCAAACGCACCATATGCGCTCCGTACACACACAAACACAGTCACCCACACACAGCATAGAGGCGACCTTTTTGCGTCTGTCGCTTTCAAGGCCAGCCAGACTGTCCAAGCAAAGGAACGGAAAGGAAAGCAAAGAAAAGCAAAGCCTCAAAGCATGCAGCATCCGTACACAAACATTTGCACGCATTTGTTTGCGTTTGTTGTGCCATTCTGTGATTCAATCTTTCATTACATGCCCATTATGTAATGTATAGGGGTCATAGTTAACGCCTGCCCATTGACCATCCAACAGATCCGATCCGGTCCAACTGGCCAACTGGCGACAGCACCTGGGGGCGTTGCGTCACGCCACATTGGCCACAAAGGTTCGGATTGTGAGGTTCACGCACAGGCTCCGAATCGGTATCGGGCTCAGCAAAACGCAACGAAATGTATTTTCAAATGGTTGTTGGCAACGCCAACCTATTGATTCATGTGAATTGTTGTTGTTGTTGTTGTTGTTGTTTGTGGTGCTTCTGCATTTGTTGTTCCCTGTGGCCATTCATTTCCTTCATTACCTCTCCCCCCACTCTTTCAGTTGCTTTGGACTCTCCTTTATGAGTCCAGCAACTGAATGAGTCCCTTGACACTCTCATTTCGTGCAAGCCGTCTCTCAAGCCTGTCGCCTTCGCAGCTCGATCTCTCTGCTGGTCTCTATTGGTCTGTCTGTATGTCTGTCTGTCTTGGTGGGTCGCCTTAGCCTCTAAGTGTTTGACGTTTTATTGCGGGTCGCGTGCTCGCTATGAATACTTGACTAACATTTATTCTCCCCTTACTCATTTTTCTCTCTTTCTTTTTTTTTTTGCATCTAATTACAGCACCAAAGGGACAAATCATACGCCTGGACTTTCGCAACTCGTTCAACATTGAGGCCAAGGAGGAGTGCAAATTTGATTTTCTCGAAGTAAGTGCTGTCTACATACACTCAGAAAAAAATTTTGATGAATGATGATTTAACACACAAGTTGCCTCATCATTTTTTCAATAAATATTTAGTGAAATTTTGATCTGGGGATTGGGAAGAACTTTCTAGAAATTGAAAAATTGTGTCTGGAAAGTAGATACGTATTTATTTAAAACTCTCGTGCTTGAACTAAAAACGATTCTATCAACAATCGCTTTAACAGCTGATTTTTTAAAGGTAAAAAAATTGATATTTCAACTTGGAGAAACGGTCGTCAAGATATCATTTGTAAGAAGACATTAAAATGGGAAAGAGAAATTCTTTTTATGCACGTAGTTTTGAATAAATAAACCACAATTGAAAGCTGAATAAAATAATATTGAATCTGAGTAGAAATTCCTTAAAATATCAAAAGTCGTCTTTAGTTTCTATACTGATGTACTAGTCGGTGACTAATCTATTTTTATTAACAAATTTATATTTTATGGCTCTCTTTTTGCAATTATTATACTTTAAGTATAATACGAGTATTTATAAGTGAAATATTTCGCTGATCGTTTGTAATTTAATTTCTATATGCCTTACAAAACGCTTGAACGAATGTGGAACCCTGTCTTTGTAGAGTTGAATTACATTGGTTATAAATAGTTATAAATATATAATTAACATAAACTATAGCAATAAATATGTAGAAATTTAGAAAAAATGTTTGGAAGAACGAAACGGATTTGATCTTAAATGCCACATTCAAGTTATTTATGGAGTTTGTTAAATTTCAGTCAGTTTTAAAGTTATAAACTAAAGCATATATGTAGAAGACTAAACTTTTATGATATCAATTAATTGAAGAGATCGGTATTAAAGCCGAATCCACCTCCAACCTATGCCATATCTATTTTTACTTGTATTATTTTTTTTAAACGTATAAAATACTAGTTTTTGTTTCCATTACCTCTGTTGTGGATGGATTCTTTTTAGTTTTTACTCATAGCAAATATTTATTACACGGCGATAGAATAAAAGGCGATTCTAAATAAGTCTTAATAGCAACAATTTATAATTTAAAGTGAAATTTATTAAGCGTATTTTTGAGTGTAAATAAATCTACATTGGCATGGGTATTATTTGCGAATGTTCGTATGTTCAAAGTAAACCTTGAACTTTGAACGCTGCACAACAACAACAACCACAACAAGAAGAGGCACTGTGGCTTCAACATTGAAATCCCTTTGGCAAATATTTTACGGTTAAGGATAGAATTGAGAGAGTGGAGAATAAAGAGTGAAAAGGAGTCGTATGCATGTTCAGCCACGAATTGACTTCTGTCACAAAAAGAAAACAAAAAAATAACGAAAACAGAAAAAAGAAAGGCAGAGCAGTAAACAAAAGAAGAAGGGGTAGAAAAAATGTAACAACAAAGGATAACAAATATTGTGCATTTCGCTTTTGTTGCCTGCAACTTTTGCTTTTGGGGTTTTGGCAACTTTCGGCATTGTTTCTCTTTGGCAGCTCCTGCTCAGACCCGAACTGGAACTGGATCTTAAGCTTGTGCTCTTAGTCTTTGGCAAATTGTTAGGGACTGGAACTGGGATTGAAATTAAAAGTGCACACAAATTGCAAACTTTGTGTAATTGAAAATGACATGGCAGCTGGTGGCGCACATGGCGTATACGCAATTCGATTATAGAGGCGACAAGCCGCTGTATGTATGTATGGCCATGGCTATGGCTATGGCTCTGTTGCCCTGTTTAGGCAAACTTTGTTTACTGCCATAAATATGACGAGCTTTGTGCGATTTGTGCGCCTTGCCTAGCCGACAAAAGCAACAAAAGAACATCAGCAGCTAAAAGCAAGCAAGCACTGCTGTCTTTTTCATTTCGTTCTTTTTCCATCTTTTTTTTGTGGGTTTTTTGTTTTGAAACTGTGTTACAACATCCGCTAAAGCAACTGAAGCAGCCACAATAGCCACGCGGGCAACAGGGTGCAGCAGGATGAAGAGGGGGGAAAAAAGTGTAACAGGAACATAAATTGTAGTGCTCTGCGCCAGAGTTATGCAGCAGCAGCAGCAGCAGAAGTTAGCTTTTGCAGCCCAGACCCGGAGCTGCAATGCAAAATAAACATGAAAACAAAAGACTAAAAGTAAATAAACAAAATCAAACTTGATACATCATTGCAACGAAGTCGGTGAAGTAAGCGAGCTCTGGCAAGTTAAGCGAAATATTTTAAATAAATACTGTTTGCCATAAAGTAAACCAATACTGATAGGTAGATAGAAATAGTTGTACTTAATATAAATAAGGTTAATAAAGTTACGGTTATGGCGACTTTTTCCCATATTCTTAAATGCATATTCAAGTATTATATTATAATGAGCTTTTTAGTAGCTGATTACAAAAGCTGATTACAAATAGTTTCGTAATATTAGTTTTACTGTTCTTTTTAGTTGCATTTTCAGTTCGAAACATCTATTGTTACTTTCAAAATAATTGATAAAATATTCACATGTTTGAGATTTACAATTTGAAAATTCTGCTTTGATTTTTCACCAATTGGTATAAGCAGAAATGATTGTTCACTCCTTAAATCGATTAAATTGTTTTTGTCTTTATTCGATCTGTTTTATAGTAGTAGTAGTCGGAAAGGCTCTCATTTCAACCAATTGGTCGAAACGTTGGCTTATGGTTGGTTTGGAGATTAAAATCGACAATTATATTGCCACTTTTCACAGAAAAAAAGAGCGCATTGTTTTCAGCCTTTGCCACATGAAATGCAACACAATGTTCAAAAGAAAAAACATTTTCGACTACACAAAAGGTAACTCGACGAAATAATCGGATATCAAGCTGCAACAAAATTCAATTTCAGTTGTTATGAACAGATTGCTGCCTGTTTAGTTTTATTGTTTTGAAAAGAGAACACAACAAAAAAAATCTCAAAACCTATCGAATTGCAACAAAATAGGTGTCAGAGGGAAAAAAATTCATGTTATTATTTGCCTTCTCTTCATGGAAGAAATTCACAAAAATATTTAGCTATAAACTAAACTCTATTTATTTTTTATTTCGACTGCAAGATTTCTCTTGAGTCATTAGATTAGAAGAAAATTTGCTCATTTATTATCTAGGTTTACTGCGCTTCTTTATCATTTGAAATTTATGAACAATTTATATAGACATCGGTTTCACTTTTCTTAATTTGTCCCAAGGAAACCACAAAAATGTTGTTGAAAATATGGCGATGTGGCTGTTTAAAATTGAAGAGACGAGCGGATATTGTGGCTATAATTAAATTTGGCACTTTACATTAATTGGCCCACAACAGCCTTCTTCTGTCACTTCAAAGCCTACAAGTGAGGAAATGTAAATATAATTACCAAAGTACTTAGTGCCATTTGGCTGCCTTCGAATCCTTTACTTCGAAGTGTGTGTAAATCATAAGCCCAGTTGTGTGTTTGCAAATAGGCAAACATCCTGATTTGCTAGCCACTTGAGAGTCACCATTCACAAATCTTCTTATATACATTTCTAAAAATATACACTTAACAAATTGGCTTAAATTAATTTATGTATCAATTCTGAGTTTAAATGAGCTTGAGTTTTAACTTCAAGCCATTTGTGTCAGCTTATAGTAAGTATATCAATTATTTCTATGTTCAGTGCTGTATTTATTTTTTGTTTAATCGTTAATTCATTCAGACGAAATTCGGTTCTTAAAAAATAAGCTACGCGTTTAATTTGCAAAAGTTGTGATATTCTTATAGAGTGTGAAACACGTCTTAACGATAAGGTTCACTTCCCGATAGAATACATTTTACAAGGCAATTACATAACCTAATATTAAAGAATGTTACGCTTTGAAAAATATATTTTATTTTTAATCTAGACGATTTTAAGCTTTCAATATACAATTTTCTTCTGAGTTTTCCTGCTCAAAAAAACATTATCAGAAACAATTAAGAGCATATGGTATGTCTTCTAAACAATGTCTTGTTTGAGACTATTTTGTGGTGTAAAGAACTTTAAATTTAAAAGAAATGTTCATTTGTTCAATTTTGATTTGCTAAAAAATAGTGGAAAATGTTCAAAATTTCAGATATTTATTATATGTTTTTATAAAAGATATACTAGAACTATAGATTGGAATAAGACACTGGTTAAATAGATGCTGCTATAGCTATTAATTGTGGAAATTGATTTCAGTCATAATCATGTCGATCAAAATTTTCATCACTTTTTGAATTATTAGCGCCATTAATGTGAATATCCAGGGCAGAAATCAATTGTCCGCATAGGTAAATCATTCCAAGTACCTTCAACTTTCGACTGCTATATTGAGCACTGAAATGTATTTTTAAATATCTACTCGGGTGTATTTCTTGGCATATTCGTATTCCAACTAATTAAACGATAATCGGTGCGACATTATAAAAATCATCGTAGTTATAAATGTTAATAGGGCTATAATTTTAAGCATTGGCATTCAAAATGAAAAAAAATATCCAATAACATTCCTAAGCGGTTGCTCTGAATCGATCATTTTCTATTTCTATTTTTTGTTGCCACGTATTTCCATAATTTAGCAGTCGTTGCTGATTTTATTTTCTCTCCTCTGATTACACATCGTCTGCCATTGAAGACATCGCCAATGCCGTCCTGAACTCATACGAGTAGTGTCCTTGGGAGTGTCGAAACAATTTAGCGACCGCACATTCATTAAACCGCATTGTCTCTAAAATTGTGGTTGTCCAATCAAGAGTTTGTAGGTAGGGGAGGGGAGGGGAGGTGTTTACTTTTAAATGCAATTTGTATAGATGCTTATACTACATGTATGATTGTTTTTGTTGCCTTACAACAGATACGCGATGGCCAGTATGGCTTCTCCACCCTCATCGGCAAATATTGTGGCACCGATTTCCCACCGGAAATTACATCGAAGGAACGGTACCTGTGGCTGCACTTTCACTCGGACGAGACAATCGAGTACAATGGCTTTAGTGCTGTGTTCGAGTTTCTGGACCGAAATCGCGAGGCGCCCAGCACCGATTTGAATTGCACCATCGAGAAAGATGGCTATGAGGGCTTCATCAACTCAACCGATGTGCCGGCGGACATACGCGACCAGGTGATTCGCAATAAGATTGCCTTGGACTGTATTTGGCGCATTCAGGTGCAGGAGAACTGGAAGGTGAGTGCTTCCTTTATTGACTGTGGAGGATAGATGGGTGGGGGGTAGATGGATAGGGGATAGGGGATAGGGGATAGGGAAGGCATTTGACTGTGGCCGACCAAATGCGGAAGCGAAACAACGAAATTGGTAAAATGCGAAGCATTTGTTTGCTTGCAATGCCATTTTCAATTTGTTACGTTTGCATTTCTAGCATTGTCTTTTTGTATTTCTCTCCAGCTATCCTTTATCTATGTACGAGTATATGTATATATGTATGTATGTTTAGTATATCTACAGCTATATATTGTTTGTTTCTGATTTTTCGTTTTCATTGCTGCAGATTCAGCTAAAATTTTTGGATTTTCATTTGAGCAAACCGAATGATTGTGAAACGAACTTTCTGGATATATTCCCGGAGCAAACAGTGATGCCATTGAGGTAAGTTGCAATGCCGATGTACGAGTACACGATGTCATGCCCCCAAACCAATTTCCGGCGCTTGTTCATCGTCATCATCGTCTGCATCGTCCGCATCGTCCGCATCGTCGTTGTCGTCAACTCAGCCAATGCAAAATTTAAGTAAATCCGCAAACGTTGTAAAGATCAAAGCCAAAATGACAGGCAAGGCAGAGGAGTTATATTCTTTCCTCTCTCTCTCTCTCTCTCTCTCTCTCTCTCCCTTTCTGTGTGTGTGTGTGTGTGCCACAAAGGGGCGTGGCAGCGCTGAACGCAACATTTCAATTTATTATCGTCCAGAGCACAAATTGTATGCGGCGGAAGTGGCGGCGCCTTTGAATCGTCGAGCGATGGATGCCTGCTCTGCGAATTGTTTTGCGTGTGAGCCGACCGAGCCGGCTCCCCGAACTGTTTCGCGACCATTTTCGTGCACACGCATTGACATCCGTTTTTAGAACACCCCAACAGCACAGCACACTCACACACTCGCACACTCGCACACACATCAACACACTCAATTTTCCACTTTCCACTTTTCACTTGTTGCGCAGTGCTGGCGTTGGCGTTGGCGCTGGCGCTGGCTGTGGCGCCGGACGGAGGCCATCTAACGATAACTTGCAAGTCAGATATTCAATTTGATTCGTGTACATGTTAACAGCAATGCCTGCCAGCCAGCCAGACAGAAACCCACTGAAGGACTCCCAGACTAAGCCAATGACGTACTGACAGACTGTCTCTCTGTCTGTTTGTCTGTCTGTCTGTCTGTCTGCCTGCCTGTCAAGCTATTCATGCAAAAATGCCGACGCCAGCGCCAGTGCCAGCGACGTGTCTGCCCATTGATTTGCCGCCTCTACTCGAATTTGTCGTCCGCTTGGATTTCATTTCAATTCATTTTTTTCGCAACGATTTAACACAAATTGTGGTCTGAGGCCCTGAGGGTCGCAAGGTCGGTATGTGGTGGGGCGGGTTCTCTACTAGAAGTATTTCTGCCTCGGGGTCGCACTTTTTTTTTACACAGTTTTCATAGCGCCCTGAATTTTTATTTTATTTTATTTCCGTTTTTTTTCTCCGCTTACACAAACAAATCGTCAAACTGCAGGCAATGAGAGCGCACAATTTCTAGAATACCTTTTAACTGCATAAATAATCGCAATCTAATATGTATCCTTATCGATGTGTAGGCATAAAGTAATATAAATACAACTCATACATGCTTCCGACATCCATTAGGCGCTATTGAAAAGTCCACGGCTCCAAGGCGTCCAATTTCAATCGCTTTTGCATAAATGTCAACTTCACGATTCATTATCTGTGGCATCAAGTTTTCTTTCCAATGTATGCTGCTTAAAATTATATTTAATAGACAGCAGTGGCTTAAAACTAAGCACGATGGCTATACATATAAAGAAGAGAAAGCATATAGTACTAGTGTCTTGAAAACAATCAGACTTTAACAAAATGTGGCAGCTTCAAAAGAAAACTTTGACTTATATAAGTAGAATGCCGTAACTAATTTAGTCACAGTTCAAAAATATTAATGAGCGCTTTTTCGAGCATGACCGTTATACGAAAGGGAATACGATTAACAATATAAATATATGAAAATCCTCAATTTTCATAAAATAAATACAATTAGTTTCAAATATATCATTTTCATACCATATAATTACCAAAAAACAAAACAAAATCTGTTCTTATAAGGTGCCTAAAAAATATATTTTCTTTTCAAAAGATATAAGTTTATTTCATTTAGAGAGTTCCGCCAAACTAAAGCAAATTAACAAAAAACTAAGAAGAAATTATTTGTTTATACTTATAAGTATGTACTTGTAATTTTAACTAAAACGCTCACTCGATTGGATGTGAAATTTGCAATTTTTTGATCAAAAAATAAAACACAAAATTAACAGAACACTAAGAAGAAACTATTCTCTCATATGCTTGCAAATTTTTACTCAAATGCTCACTCGATTGGAGGTGAAATTTTCAATTCCTTGATCTATTTTAAAGAATTAACAGAAAACTAAGGAGAAACTATTTTCTCATTTGCTTGCAAATGTTGTCTGGAATGCTCACTTAAAGGGGCGGCAAATTTTTAATTCCTTCTTGGAATAAATCATGCATCGGTCTAGGTTCAATGGTCATCATCAATCAAGCAGATATCAATTGGAACTTTCATAAAACATCACTTTTCAGCTTGTTAATTCTCTTTGATTAATAAATCTATAATTTATTCATTGAATTCTCCTGGAATAATAACTTTTGAAATCGAGTTAAATTTGCTCTTTTATTTTGTATATTTCATTATTTTTTCCTGCATCTTTTGAAATTGTGAAATGTTTTCATGCGTTGCATCATTTGCTTCAGGCTCGTCATCAATCAATCAACCAGTCAGCCAGTTGGGCCAACATTGTTATTTATGTGGATACCATTTAAAAATATATATTGAGGAGAGCGATTAAATAGATAATAGCCACTATTGTGGTCAGCTTCTGCCCTTAGCAACTTAAATGGGTTCGCAAGCAATAATTGAATGAGAAAATGTGGCAGCTCAGCTTTAAGTAATAGACAGTCCTGCACACACACACACACACAGACACAGATACCCAGCCACTCTCAGCATAACAAAACAAAATGCAAACATTAACAAATCCGACACACCCGAGCTTTAGTTCCCACATTATGTTCGAAATGTAAATTGTTTTTGTTGTTGTTGTTGTGTATTACTTTTTTGTTTTCGGTGTTCTTGTACATACGAGTACTAGTATTTCATTGTGATTATGTTCTATCCTATTTTACAGAGTGAAAAACTTTTGTGGCTCCGCCGGCGAGAGCATCACAGCGGAGTCCAACATTCTGCACATGAGATTTTACGCTGAACAAATTGCGATTAATTCGACGTTCGCCATTCTGTACACAGCTTTTCGGGACCGTGGCACAGCGGGTAAGTCTACTCTACTCTACCCTAATTTTTTCCTGTAGCTCTTGTGTTTTGTGGGCCACTTTGATGACTACAACTATTTGTCCGACTGACTCTCTCTCTGTCTGCCTGTCTGTCTGTCTGTCTGTCTGCCTCTCTGTACGAATGAATGTCTGTGGGCAGTTGTGCGAAAAAGGGCGGGTGAATCCCTCAAATGTTGCCGAGCTGCGTGTGACATGGCGTCGGTGTGCCCTCAAAGCCAAACTTAAGGCAAGTACACAGCATTGCCAATCCCTCGCTAAGCTCCGTCAATCCTGTGCCCATCGAGAGTCCATGACAGGCACTCCTATTGCTGGCAATGAGAGCAGAAGAATCAACATAGCAGCATCGGCTTTTGGCCGCTTTTGTTGCCCATTTCATTGGTTTGCCGCAGCCCTGCGGCCACTTGAACTGTTGGCTGTCGGTTGTCGTCATCGTTATGGTTTCCTTAGTCCTTGTCATGTCCCCTCACAGTTCAACTCCCAGAGTGTTCTAATATCTATGCGTAGCTGTTAGAACTGTATCGCTTTGGTTCGCATTATAGTTCAAAAAACTTGTTTCAATTAAAAATACTTGTAGTAAAAAAAAATCACATTTAATGATACTAAATATATAGTATATAGAAATATATGCATACATAATGAGCTATGAATACTACGAGTATTTGTAAATCTGACCAAAATAGAAATAAAATTATTTTCAATTTCCTCAATACATTCATACTTCAACATTTCATTAGGGCACTATTTTTATAATAGCTTTCAATTTAGTATCGACAGTTAAATTTCCTTAACAAATTGTCATCAATCTTGATTTTAGATTCTAAGTCAAGAATCTGAAGTGTATGTCAAGCTCCAATATCTATATCCTATAGAAATAGTAACTTTCGAAGCTTGTTTTTTCAAAGTTCTAAAACGATTTTGATGATATGTAAATATTGATGATGTGCTTTATTGAATGGACAAACTAAATAAAAGTCTTCTTAACCAACTGAGACTGCGGTCAGACGGTCAAATAATATGTACTCGAAGCTGTCGCAAATATATTCTCAATATAATGTGCCTTGAATCAAACCCAATTTTTATACCCTGTACCCGTAGGGTAAAAAGGGTATATTAGGTTTGTGCAAAGTATGTAACATACAGAAGGAAGCATCTCCGACCCCATAAAGTATATATATTCTTGATCAGCATGACGAGAGAAATCGATCTAGACATGTCCGTCCGTCTGTCCGTCTGTCCGTCCGTCTGTCCGTCCGTCTGGATGAACGCAAGGATCTCGGAAGCTATTAAAGCTAGAATAACCAAAGTTGGCATCCAGATTCTCCTAGGTCCGAGTAAGGACGAGTTTATTTTTTTTTTTTAATTTCCCCCCCCTTCCCCCGCTACAGAATTTCGTCAATAGCGTCCACATTTCAAATGCTACCTAAACCAAACTTTGCACACATAATTTCTATACAATTATCTACTGTTGTTTAAAATTTTATCAAATTCGGTCAATTCTAAGAAAAGTTATTAGCAAAACAAATTCTCACCAGTACAACCCCCCCAAACTGCAGCAACAAGTTCGCTCTTCTTCTTCCTCTTTATGCTGCTGCTATGGGCGCATATAACTCAGTGACGGAAGTTTACCTGGGTACAGGGTATTACACTGTCGGGCTTGCTCGACTGTAGCGTTCTCTCTTGTTGTTTATACTAAATTATAATTTTCTATCAGTAGAAACGTTTTTGAAAAGCAAGCTGATTTTTGTGCAAACATTTTGCATGTCTGACCGCAGCTTAGGTTATTCTTTAATCCAACAATTGTGGCTCATAAAACTGAACTATGTTGCGCATCGCTATTATCTTATTGTCTGCTGGTGTGTTTCTTTGTCTGTATATGTATGTGGGTCTGACTGATTGTCGATCTGTCTGCCTGATTGTCTGTCTGTCTCGCTGTCTGGCTGTCCGCCTGTGTGTCTGCCAGCTTGGCACTCGCTTAGCGGTGCGTGATTGCTGCCTGTTGCCAAAGGCTAAGCACTCTTTTGTCATTCAACGAGTGTCCTTTGTCCTTTTAGCCAGTGCTACTTGGAGCATTATTTACTTCTACACACACACACACGCCACACAGATAGCTATACTTTTCAGCTACAGTTGAAACTAAAGCTTAGCAGACACTGCACAGTGGCTTTAAATAAAGCAGACTTTGAATATTGCTTAAAAATCTGCTGAAGTAAATAAAGAGCTCTTTGACAGCAAACATAATTAAGTGGAGACGAGATCTTTTTGATAATCCCAATGATAACTACTTAGGAGTTGGGATTTCAAAAGCGTGAGTTCAGTAGCTGGAGATGCATCGTGTCTTGACGATGAAGATTTATAAAAAGCTGGTCGCCTGCTTCTTTTGCATTTAATTAATGGTTTAGCAGGTATGTACATACATATATATAGTTTGGAATGAGCTGAATGTTTTTGCGTGTATGCCAGCATTTTAAGCCCAATCTTAAACAATTTCTAAAGATATAGGAGGGTAAAAAGGTTGGGAAGTCGTAGAAAATACCAGTTTTGGCAAACATTTTAAAGCCTTCTTTTTTTTCCTGTTTATGTTTTTTGTGAAAGGTGTTATTAGTTTTCTCAGCACTTTCGCCCCACTGTGCACAGTCAGCAGCGTTGGCGATGGCACGTGATTGGGCCGACCAGCCATCGCAAGGCGTTCATCGTATTTGTCGATGGCTCTGCCTGAGCTCTCAATTCCTAAATCCTGGGCTTTCTGGGCCTTCCAGCATGTGCTTTTACTTGTAGTTGCCACAGCTGCTTTGCAATTATGGTTTGCTCTGCTCATTGCTGTTGTTGTTGTTATTGTTGCCAGCGTCGACGATTTATGTTTGTGATTACGTGTGTTTGCTTTGTGGTGGGTCTGACTGTCTGCCAGGCTGCCAGGCTGCCAGTCAGCCAGCTTGCCAGTCGCCTCCTGCCCATTGGCATTGTCTGATCTTTTTCCACTACTGCTGATTGCCATTTTCTCTATTTCGGTCCTTGCCCTCCCCTTTGTATCCTCGTTTGCCATCTGTGCCAATTTTTACAACTTCTTCCACGACTATGCTCTGCTCTATTCTTACTATTACTTTTACTTTTGCAGCCTGCACTGAGGAGGAATATGATTGTGAGGACGCGACCTGCATATCAAAGGATTTGCGGTGCAATTTTCGCGATAACTGCAAATTTCGTTGGGATGAGGAGAGCTGTCCGGTAAGTGCAAGCCTAGCAGCCCCAGCTGTGACAACAATAATAACACAAACACATGCATGCACTGAGAAAAAACATAATTTTCTTTTTTTTATTTGTTTATTTTTATTCATATGTATGTCAACAAACAATGACTATTAACATAGGAAAACAATATATACAAATTATGAAAATAACCTCAAAATATAGGAAATCCACAGTAGGAGAAATCTAATCAAATTACAATAATATCTAATAAAATATTGTGAAGAATTGACTTCGTTTTGTATTGAATATCCTTGAGGATTTTTCGTATTTGAATTGCATTTTAATTTAGAATAAGCACAAAAAATGTAGGAGGATTTTGCGTATTTGAATTGCATTTTAATTTAAAATAAGCACAAAATATTTATAATACAAGTAGTAATCGGCCGAATTTTCTAATTAAGTTAACAGCAACAACTAATTGTCATTGTCCAGAACTTTTCTTTGTCCTTGATTTTATATTATTTGTTCAAGACTACTACATTTATACGCAAACGAAAGTCCTTAGCTCTGTTAGTTTGAAGATTGAAGCTGACTTGCTTTACTTGACTCGTGTATGTCCCAAAAGGAGTCCTCTATGAAGTATTTTGTGCAAATGTACTTAAATTTAAAATGCCAAACTATTTATGTTTGGGCTCGATTTGTTTTTCTGAGTATTCTTTTACTGCATGTGGGCCAAACGTATTCGTACGTGCATCTAATTATAGGTAAGCCCGATGCCGTTGCCATTGCCTAGCATTTTAAAACAACTCGACGCTCTCTCATTATATTGCCGCAACTAAACAAACAAACCAGCAGCTGGCACACACACACAAACACACACACACACGCAAACACTCTGGCAAACACATCACATCACAAAGTTGGCCAAATAAGTTTTGTTTACAAAACTTTGAGGTTTATATTACAACGGCGTGCGCTTACATGGCTTAAACGGCCAATGCAGTTCTCGCTGTTGTTGCTGTTGCTGTTGTTTGTTAGTTTCTGGCAGCCTGTGCTTAGTTCAGTGGCTGCAACTAACACTTAGTCCAATTTGATAAAGTCACCGCCATTGTTGCGCCCTCAACCACACAGGCAATTTTCAACAATTCGGTTTATTTTCAAATTTAATTTTATAAGTCGTCGGGTTTCCGTGAAGGCGTTCATGTCCCTTTGAACACTCCTTTCGCATTCAAGTAATGTCACACGAAAGTTTCTAACTTTCTCTCGCACACACCAACACACTCCATACTTATACCGACACATACACGTATGTATGTATGTTCACGCATTTATATAGTACTGAGGGGAGCGTTATTCGGCATTTGGTCAGTCAGTTCTTCTAATTGTTTTAATCTCTTAATTATTTCTAGTAGTTGAAAAACTTATTTAATTACTTATTTATTGATTAATGAACTTGTTTATTTACTTATTAAGTCGGCTATATGGGCTGTCAAGGAAATATATAATTGCAGCTGAAGAGGGAAGAAGAATGTTACAAAATTACAATAATTTCTAATACAGCCAGAGTGGGTCTCTAGACATTAAAGACATGCAAATTGAGGCAAATAATAATAACTTGATAAATTACTTTTCAAAAGAGAGAAACCAAATTCGTACTTATAGTTAATCAGTTTAGTTGCGGAAGAAACAGGAATATATCCCGGTGGGAGAAGACTTACTATAATTTGCCAATCCGGCCATTGCTCACAACTAGGCTGTGGTCAGAGATATCCACGGAAATGATTAAAAAACGACGTTCTGTTAAAGGTGTATGAGACTATCTCATATAATATATAAAATAAATAAAATGAAACATAAGTAGTTCGTAGTTGAAAGTCCAGAAGGGGCAGAACAATTTAAAAGTGCAGTCAACAATCACTAGGCATTTACTTATTTAAGCAACGCAATACTCATACATCATATTCTACTTGATTGTGAATGTTTTTTTATGTAGATGTTTTAGTCGAAAAGCCTTAGTCGGTAAAGCCCTAGTAAAGCACTAATATGACAGACTAATGCTATCAAGCAAAGGACTTGGTTTCAGCTAGTTTTTATCTATGTGAAGATAAAACTTTAAACTTGATTAAATCCGATTGCACACAGAATTCATCCGCTGTTGAAATATGTTTATCGATGCAAAATTTGATTTAAGATATGCTTGGGAATGTTTTTTAGAATGACAGACATAGTTGAAGCAATTCATTATTCTTTCAAAAAATATTAAAATTGATGGTAAAATATATATAAAAAATATCAAATGTTTTTAAATATGCCAACACAGTTGTTTAATAAATTCACGCACATCCCTGGCCTCGTTTAAAAATCTCGATTTTCGATTCTATCCGTTCAAATATCAGAGATAGCTGCATTTTTCATTTATTTAATGAGATACCTACATATTGTTAAATTACTATTTTTTTTTTCAAATATTCATTCCATTCAAAACAATATGACAAAATCATTGAACTGAACAGCGGATGTGAGCTCTTGTGTGTGTGTGTGTGTATTTATTTCAGCGAATACACCAATGCACACACCTATGTAATTCTCCCACACTGCAAACGTGATTCATTCGCAGTCGTATTAAATTCATAAAAGCACAGGTTGTTCGATTATTCTGATTATATGCAAGTCAGAAACATAATAGAATTGTTTTGTATTGTTTCGTTTTGTTCTGTTTTGTTTCGTTGGCGGGGTGTCGAACATTTCTAACACTGAGAAATACGACAAGTATTCTCGCTCTATTCACATTTTTGAAAATAAAGTTTGTCTGCCTTTTTATATTGGTAGTAGGGGCCTTAATTAGCATGTGAGCACAGAAACAAATTTCTGCTATACACGTGTATATATTTGAAATAATTTCACACTTAGCTATGATTTTCCAAGGAAAAATACCAATAATTGTAGGAAATAACAACAAACACAACGTTGAGCACAAGCTTCCTTTTTTGCTTCAGATTTAAAGTTCAAAAAAGCGTTTATGTATAACAAAAAGGCTTACCTGAATTTAAGTTAATCGCGAACACTATATTACTATAAATGAATGATTTTATAATTAAATAAAACCCTTTCTATATAATATTTGTTGTACACTACATAGTCGAATTGTGTCGCATTGAGAAATGTTTCAGTCACATTTTCGTAGTTTTGCTCGCCTATAAATTAACAAAATTGTTCGTCTCGGTTAACAACACCATGGATAGAAAGCCGAACTCTAGCACTACGATTTGCACTTTGTTCACTGTATCGCACTCTGATTATATATACGGCCTGGACTTGCTACTGAAGGCAATTGAGAAAAGTATGCATACGAAGGAGGACCTTCTGGTGGCACTTTCCCACTTTTTGCTGACCAAGCATTACGAAATGGGCTGTGTTGGTAATGGAGATGAAGAAATCTTGCGAACTAACGAAACTGGCTCCGAATGGCTTCCCGATAATTGGAATGCTAATGGCACAAAGTACGCGCTTCGCTATGTGCATGGCAAGGAGTTGTATTTGCTGATTGGTCACAAAAGGAAGGATACTCTGATTCTCAATCTGTTTGACACTAGAGCGAAGTCTGAATCGAGCATTAGTCTTGAGCCCCACTCATTGGTATTTGCGATTAAAGGCAGCTTGACAATATGTATTCCCACAATTTCGCAAGTTGTTGATCGTTTCCGCAACGAGCTGTTTAGTCCAATTTTGTCCGGAAAGTTCCGAAATGTGTCCACACAGACAATCAATAATTCTGTCTCCGAGTGCAGACGCAATTCGGATCAATTATGTATCGGCTCTCGGAGCTGGTTTGTATCCTCGCCATGTGGTCGCGGAAGGTATCCCTTTCATCCGCGTAGCCGAATTTTTCCGAATTACATCGAACAAGTGCGTGAATAGCGTATCGCAATAGACCGGCATGATCCAAACTCATTATGACCCAGAATTTCTATGGTTAAATGAATACAATAAAGAGGCGACATAATAATAATAAGTACCTACAAATGTCTTGTATGATTATTTCACATCAGACGATATATATAAAAATAATATATATATATGTATATACTTTGTACAATTACAATCAATTTAGTTATCCATTAGGTCCAGAGAGATCTGTCAATTTGATTAAATAAAATATACTGAATTTCGCTAATGTCAGCGTAAAATATTTTAATATAAAATTTAAGATATTTGAATAGTTGCACTTCAAAATCTCTACTGTATTTTTTTTTAATTTATTTTTTCCTTGTTTGTCTTTTCTAATATTTGTGTGAATATTTGCTATTATTATTTTTGTATGTTTCCATGTTGTCAAATTGTTTTTCTTTATCAGAAATAAATACATAAAAAATACATAAATTGTCGGATATCTATCTATATATCTATATCTACCTGTATATTTGTAAAGGGGGGCTTTTTTGCGCCTCAATATTTAAGCAATTAATAATAAATGAATAATAAAATAAACCTATAACAACCATAGAACATTTTCTATACTTGAAGTAATGCAGCGAATGGAGATTTTAATTTTAATTTATGTAAGTTAGTCACTCTACCAAATATACGCTATAAATGTCAACACAACAATTGTATTCAAAATATTTTTAAAACAAATATATTCATCTAACGTTTGCAGCAAGGACGAGTTTCAATTTGGTTATAAGACTTAACCCAAGGTTTTACTTAACCAAAGCTCCAAATCAATTAAGTTCAGATATATTTAAAATATTAAAGAAAGCTGTCAAAAAGAGAATATCGGCGTCAACATTTTATTATTATGAAAATTATTTTACTTTGTTATTTATGAAAAATCTTTTCATTAGCAAGCTCATAAATTTGCCTCTGTTTAAAAATATTACTTTTAAAGTTTGCATTTTGTTTCATTTCGTATAAACAAATATTTTTATTGTATTTAAAACAATATTTATGCTCTCTGTATATTTTTTTCAGACTGTATCGGCTTCTCAATCGGATCATGTGGTCATTATAATTGTCGTATTTGGTTTAATACTCGGCGGCATGATTCTAACATTTATTGTGAATTGCATACGCAAAATAATACGTGATCAGAAGATAATACGTGTAAGTACCTGAAATAAAACTTAATCTATTAGTCAACTTTCCAGTGCGTGCTTTGTCACGCCACTAGTCCCTAAACCCTGTACAACAACATCACCACACCCAAGCCCTAACCCCACCCCGACAAACCCCCGACACCCCTATAATTGGATGTTGTACTGTGCTTGCATCATTGGCTGTTCGCTCACACGCCTGCCTCCCCCTTGAACGCTCTTCCAACCGCCCCTAAACTTTATTTCACACACTCTATCTCTCTGCCCACCTAGTCTCACAATTAGTTAGTACTCGTATGTGCATAAAATAAATTGAAATTGTCAATGGCCATTGATTGCGGAATGAGACCACAATACGGAAAATAATATGATTGATTTGCTTGTAGGCCCGAAAGTGCATTGAAATTTAATGAAATATTTATGTAAAACATATGAAAATTACAAACGCAATTCAAGTACATACATACATAAATATATAGCCAATTATGTACATATTATTAATATGGAAAGTATATATAGATTACAAAAATATTTAGATTTAGTTGCGGAACACAAACAAAAACAAAAACACAAATACAAAATACGCGAACAAAAACACACGTAAATAGCACACACACACACACACACACACACATAGACAGTCGCACAAACACTGTTGCTTCTTGTAATTGCGTCTATTTCCCTCTCGCTCGCTCTCTTTGTCTTTCCATCGCTGTTTGCAGGGCCTGTGCGAACATAAAAAGTAATGAGCGCTCGATAGTATGCTATGATTTTTGTTTTCTGCCTTTTGTTGCTTTGCACTTAATGCGAAAATAAAATGCGGCCGCCCATTGGCATTGTGGCTAAAATGGCCAAATTAGCAAAATCAAAATTAGCTTTAATTAGAGACATAACAGCATTATTTAAGACAAACAACATTAACGCGTGCCAAACAAAGCATTTCACTGCCGTAGCTTTCATTATTTTTAGGTCTTTTTCTTTATTCCATTTGCGATTTTTTTTCCTTCTTTCTTCTTCAACTTATGCAGCAAATTGCTACATTTGCAAAGCCACAAATTTCTTTCTCTCTCTATAAATATACATATGTATGTGTGCGTTTGTTTGTGCTGACATTCCTCATACGCCCCGTGTGCCGAGCTAAGCTTAAGCCAGACTGAGAGCCGCAGTCACAACCACAACCACAGCAAAGGCGGCACGTTCTGCGGCGATTAGTTAAGGCACAAATTGACACATAGATTCATTCCCTAACAATAATAACAACAGCTACAACAACTACAATAACAGTAATGGCACAAATCACAGCCCGGTGCCTATAGCCGTGCTTGCCCCCAAATAAATGGTTATTTTTTCTAATTAGAATTTATAGCGTTCACGCACAAACGTCATCAAGATGTCAGCATTAAATGTAATATATAAAAAGTATTTAGATGCATGCATGGCATTTGAATATATACATATACAGATAAAGACGACCTTGTCTTCATGAACAAGAACACTGGTATATTTATAGAAATTAATGTCGTATTAATTATCTTGAACTTCGCATATGATTTATTACTTAGTTGTTAATATGGTCAATGCCTCTGTAGTTTAAGGCATTCCAATGATTGAATTAGTTTTCAAAAATCTATTAGACATTTGTATGACTAACAAAAAGGAAATACTAATTCCAAGTGAACTTATTTTCTAACTTGGTTGTTCAGCTTAGAGTCTTAAGTATACATTTTTGTTGTACACATTTATTTTATTTGCTTCGCTTTATTGATTATGTTTTATTTTGTGTGCAGAGCAATAATTTGGTGTCGAAATATTTTTATAAATACTAAGCTAATTAGCTAATTAGCCGCTGAGCTATTAGGCCAATATTCAGCCTAAAATATTATACACTCTTCACCCGGTAAAGTGCTTAATCAGCACTTTATTCATTTGGGCATCCAAAGCTATTTGTTATTGTTGCAATCTTTATTTATTTTAACAACCAACAGGCAGACCTTATTATGTATTTATATAAATATAGTACATAAATGCTCAACGCTTTAAGGTATTTGTCAAAATCTAAACAAAATATGAAAGCAGTAGAAATGTTGGTGAGATAACTCAACATTAGCAGAGTTTTTTCTGTTTATAGAAACTTTGATCGAAAGTTGTACCGGTTTCCCTATTCCAAATTATAAAGAATCAATCCTTTCAGTGAAAGTAAAAATCATTTCAATTTGTTTCCAAATCGAATCAGCGACTGAGAAAAGACAGATTTCTATTATAGATCGATAGATATGCTCTACATGTATCGAAGATATAATCCATTTAGGCCTTACAAAATATATAAGAAGTATATGTATACATAAATTTTTCTTTGTAACTTGCAAGACAACGAAAGGGAAGGTGTTCGGTTTATTTTTCCCTTCGTTTACCAATATCTACCGAATTTATACTTCGAAAAAATCCACTTTCCCATTCATACATTCGCATCAAGCATTGCTTGAACTTTTCCGTAGACATTGATTTTATGAAATTCAATAAAAATGCATAAACGCGAAAAGCATTTCAATTCTTACTTTGATTTAAATACCCACAGATGTGTGTGTGTGTCTACTCTTTCCTGTGAATGAGTGTGGTTGAGTGTGCCGGCACATTTCATTAGCTGTCGATTTCAAGACAATTCGCTGTGCACACACCCACACCATACACACACACACACACACACACACACAGAGAGAGAGAGAGAGAGAGAGAGAGAGAGAGAGAGAGAGAGAGAGAGAGAGAGAGAGAGTCACCCGCTTGCTTACCAATTCATTTTGTTGCCATGACTTTGCCACTGGCATTGCTTTTCCAATTTGACTTTTGTTGGCAAGGCGACAGTACGAAAGGACAAAAGGAGCAGCAGCAGAAATCGAGGTCTTTAAATTAAATATCATTGTGGTAGTGAACACACACACATGTGTATGCACAGATTTAAGTCTGCTTGACTGCGACTTAATTAAGCATGCATGTGTATGTGTGTGTGTGTGTTTGTGTGTGTGTGTGATTTTGGCAGCACCTCTAGAGCTCGCTTGGCCGCTGCGACCATTGGCGCACATGGCGCGGTCTACCGCTTGATTAAATAGACTGCCAAACAAACGCAACAACATGGCCACACACTCACACTCCCAGCACACACACATACGTGTATACCAACTAACACAGATAAGCACACAATCTGAAATTTGTGTTAGCTAGTTGTTAGCCGCTCGCTGGCAACACCTACGCAGGCACACAATCTGCTAATTGAAGGTGCTTGCTTGTCTGGCCTGTGACCCAACCCTTGGACAAAATTTTAATTGTATTGATTAGTTAACTCGGCGGCACTTTATCAATGTTTCATCTGTGCGTGTGTGTGGGGCGTATTTGTGTTACACTGCGAGAAATATAGATTCTGATTGTATTAGAGAAAAAATGACAGAACAAAAGTTTGCCCGAACTCATTTATTTTCAAAAGGAATAGAGTTCTGGTCGTTGCACTAAAATCTCATTAAATACATCTTCGTTTCCTATTCTACCCCAGATGGCTTTCGCCTTAAATCTATCATATTTGGAAGTCCGTTGGACTGTCCTTGATGCTGGCTTTCTTCATCTGCACTCCCAATTAGCAAGACTATTTTTTTGCAAACCAACCAACAACTAAGTAATTCCATTAAAACTTGTCTAGATGCACAATTTAATCAGTATATTGCTAGACAACTAGAGTCCTAAAACGTACTGTATTTAAATATTGAATGATATTTTTGTATATTTAAAATAACATTGAGAATAAATTTTTTGTTTATTCATTTGCGATGCTGAAATGTCGCCGAGTATAAAATTCTAGTCCAATGTCAATTTCTCAACCAGAAATATGGGCAATCGGCATTGAATGGCGCGTCAATTTCCAACTGCAGCATTTTTATCATGAATCTCAAGTCGGATGCAAATGTTGAATCGGTAGCGGAAATAGGAGCTATGCAGCTGAATATATTTTATTGCGTGTAGTTGTGGCGCTTAGTTCAAGTTTATTTTACATCTCACAAGCTGTCGCATGCCATTAGCACTGTATTAGGGGGCTTGGCATATGGAGGTGACACTTCACATACCCCCTTATAGGAAAGAAATAATACAAAATAAGGGGGAAATACAAAAATAAAAAAAATTAAAATCACACCCACTCTCCGGCGACTGTCAGAGTTTGGCATTCTGGCAGCTGTTGGGGCGGCAACATTTCTGTCTATTCAATGCTTGGCAGCTACACAAATAGCATTCAAATGCGTTAAAACGCCACACACCACACACACATCCTCCGGCTGTGGTAGTTACGTGCGGGAGTTGCTTGTGGCCTGACAAGAGGCGACAAAGCGACAAGAGGCGACAAGATTCCTATCACGTTGCGCATTATTGTTTTACTAATGTGTTTCATAGCTCGGTTGCTTGCCTCGCAGGACATTGCATGCCACTGGCAACCAGAAGCATTTGGCATTTGCCACATTTAGCACTCTTCTTCTTCTTCTTCTTCCTATTGCTGTTGTTGTTGCGATCGTTGCTTGAAGATCGCCAGAAGCCCTGCTTAACTTCAAATGAGAGCTCTCGTACAAAAATTGCATTTATAGCTGCGGGCACTAAATTTAATCAAAGCCATTAAATAAATGTGCCACAATAAAAACAACAGTGGGGGGAAAACGTTAAGCTGTCGCCTAAAATGACAGCACACATACATACACATGCACACAAATATATACTAGTGTTGAGGTAAGCTGCGATTTTATAATCACAACTCTATTTGGCGATTACTGTGCTTTCTTTAGTTAACAGCTTAAATAAATAGTTGACAAGTAATCTAAAAAATATGTAGGTACTGCTCTACACGAGCCAGAAATAAGAAAACAAAGCCCTTTTTTCTTCAAACCAAAAATGAAATAAAGCCCGTAAATGCGACAACAACAATAAATAGTAAATAAAACAATTCACAACAGCAGTGTCTTTACAGCGATCGTAAACAGAGCG